ATGGCCTCCGACGAAGCCAGTAGCTGTATTGACTAGTTTACCTTACTTAAAAACAACGTAACTTCTAGGGCTGTCTCATATCTCTACTTATTTTCGGTTTAAATTATTGCTAATACGTGTTATAATACTAACTAGGATAATGTGGATAACAAATAGTGTTACAAAACACCCTTCAAGCTCAATAGAATAGAGACTGCGACTGCCGGGTGTTTAAATGTTCACTTATCAACAAGAATGTGATGGGATAAAGCCATGCAAGTCCCAGAAGTCCTCAGAAACCCTAGTCAATGTAGCTACTCAGCTTGCTATTGTGAAGAAAATGTTTGGAAGCTGTGTTCACTGGTTCAAGACAAGTGCCCCAGCTCAGAACTACTCAAATGTTTCTGTGTGTTTATATCGAATGACTACAGGCAGATACCTCTATGGCATCAGAAAGCCAGCAAGAGTCCAGAAAGACTTGTAATATGGGACTACCATGTGATATTTGTGTATCATGACTGTGACAACACACTGGTTTACGACCTTGATACAGAGCTCAGTTTTCCTTGCACAATAAAAGAATATGCAGCAGCTTGCATCGGAGACGGGACGATTCTGCAGGCAGAGTACAAAAGGATGTTCAGAGTAATCCCTGCTAATGAATTTCTGCACACATTTGCATCAGATCGATCACGTATGCTGGATGACAGGAACCAGTGGTTAGCCCCCACCTCCTGAGTATCTCCCAATAAAGTGTCCTAACACCAGCAACAACATCTAGGAATTAATATCCATGGACAAGACTATTAGACACGGAGAAGTTTTTAATTTGCAAGAATTTCTTCACAAGTTTAACAATCATTTGTGTGGTGTGAAATAATTTGGTATGATTTGTACTTGAATGTTTTCATAAACTCATCCGTTGATATAAATACTGTTATCTCACATAGCAGAATATTTGGTTTTGTACACTTGTACCCACTTATCGGTTCTGAACTTACCATTCATTCATTCCGTGTTATTTTTTTTTTAATTTGTTTTTATTTACTCATTTTTATTTACTCTGATGTGAGAACTGTATCATGTTTTGCTTTTTTGTTTCTCTGATATAGCATAGGATGAATTAAAAATAGACCTCTTGTCTAAAAAAAAAATTGAAAAAAAATTCCCTTTACAAAACTGCAGCAATAATTGAAACAAAAATATTTTAAAAACTGATCAGTGAATGGTAGCTGAAAATATAAAGATGAAGATATATTTGCACAAATTACTGAAAAACATACGTCATTTAATGTTATTTTCCATTTTTTTTTTATAACACAGGTTTTATTATACAACACCCAGTGTCTACACACATGATTATATGTTCAAATTCTTCTTTTTTTAATTTGAATTTTGAATCTTTTTTTCTTGTTCTCAAAGTTGAAATCTGACCGTAAGTACTTTTTCCCATAAAAGGCTAAATCTAGTCACCTCCAGTTGTTAGGCAGCCCCGTAAATACAGATATATCATCATTATGCTTTGATCTGTGCTCATACAGCATCATTAAATTCCATTAGTTCTATGTATGCCACCGCAGTGTTTAAAAGCCAGGATATGAATATAGGAACTAAAAATAGCACACAGAGGGGTGTCCTCATTACCTTAATGGCTTTTTTAAAAACTCTACCACTCCAGCAACAATCCCTAAGAATCTTCATAAAATTGCACTTACGAATTGAAAGTATCCATAAAATAAACCCCACAACTTTCAAAGCATAAGGCAAATGGCCTAACCACTTAGCAATAGTACCCCTCATGTTTATTCTTGACCACTTTCATATACCAATTTCATTATTTCTGTATATCTTGACATAAAAATGTTTTACTTTAAGACCCCTTTCATAAGTAGTCTACCAATGTATACTACTACTACTTCTTTTTGGCGATAACCAGCTGTAAACTCTGGCGGAAAGTTGTGGTTATTCTCCCACTTCTGGGTTTTGGACTTGTTCCAGAACTCGTATACACATCCATTTAACAGATCTGGTTTATTTGTATGCAAACTGTTGGCTCCTTGAATCTCAGGGAAACATCTCTAATTAGTCGTCTCTTACGACATGCCTGTTAGTGGTGCAGTGGTTCTATTCTGCTGCCCCCCAAACTAGGGCCCTGGAACCCACAGAGGGACAATGTATACCAATCCCCGGACTTACTTTCTCTATGTGATAGCAGTCGTGCACCAGGTGATGACAGGGGCCTGACGGCTGGTCTGGCAAATATCTTGTCTGACAACTTGGATGGACCTGCTCCGGCTCCTCCAGTGTACCTCTGATGAGACGAGCAAGCAGGCACTTTTGGCTGAGCTGTGCCATTTTGATCAACTACACCATCTAAACGCATACTGGCTAGCAATGTTTCTGAATATAAAGACAGGAGGGTAATTCAAAGTAGCAAAAGTAAAGACTGCATTGAAGCTACACAGCGAAACAACTAATATTTAAATGTAAAAGAGTAAAGTAAACATGCATCACAAACATACAGAGCAAACAACACCATGAACATGAAAATTTAAAAAGGAAATCTTTCAGATATGTATGATACTTGCAGGAAAAGAGCAATGGATGTAATGAAACTGAAAGTCTTTTTGGGTCTTTTGTAGCTGGATAAAATCTTGAGTTCAGAAATTAATGTAGATAATTCTTTTTCTTTCTATACTTCTTCAGTTTAAACAAAATATATATAACAATTTGAGATAAGAATCAAATGTAGAAAATTTTTCTCACTTCTTCAGTTTCCGTATGTAATTAAAGGACGGAATGTACAATACCTGTTAAACACTGGTGCAAGGGTTTCCCAGTATGGGTTCCAAGGTCCCATTATGGGGGGGAAAAAAGAACAGACCCCCTGCCTGCCCAACAAGCATGTTGTAAGAGCCCACTTATTGGGAGCTTCGTTCAAAGTCGGAGTGCATTTGCCTGAGAGGCAAGGAACCAACAGTCTGCATACAAATAAGCAAGAGCTGTAAAACGCAAACGCAAAACTCAGGCCCCAGAACAAAGCCAAAGTCCAGACTCAGGCCCCAGAACAAAGCCAAAGTCCAGACTCAGGCCCCAGAACAAAGCCAAAGTCCAGACTCAGGCCCCAGAACAAAGCCAAAGTCCAGACTCAGGCCCCAGAACAAAGCCAAAGTCCAGAAATGGATGATTCAACCAAGTCTTTCCACTGGGGTGTACAGCCGGAGAACGCAAACAACAAACAACAACTGGTGCTAGGTAACTTTTGTTTTTTCTATGCTGCTGTAAAGGACCTGGAACACATGAAGGTCTAAAAGTTTTACATCCCTGCGACATTATGTGCACTGCGATTTCTTGAACACGACAAAGATGGCCCATTTTTGCCACATAAACCCATTTGTCTTTTCATCCATTATATTAGCAACATTCCGTGATAAGCACATTTTCTGTGGAACACAGTGAGAACAACATTCTACAAAGGACTTGCTACATGATGAAGATAAGCAAATAAAACTAATTAGGTATTTATCTCATGCGTCAAATAAATACATTTTTTTTTTAAAAATACAGTTGACAACATGGGAGAACAAGTAAAGATTATACAAATTAGAGTACAACAGAATGTGATCATGTGCACAAACGACAATATATAATTTCTTACAAACTTCCATGTTTACAACTTTCATATTTACAATAACATACTATTATTTTGTAATACTAAAAAAATATTCTTCACAAGCTTATTAACAAAAATATGACCCCAAAAATGGCAGAATGAATTAACAAATCAAGTTCTGATATAATTGCACTCGGGGTCTTCCCTTAGATACTCTATCCCCTTTCTCAAGTGTTAGAAGTTTGCCTGTCTTTTTCCCCCTTGATCTAAGAATAGTCAGACGCTCTGCCTACTCCTACTACTGAGGTATGGATACTCTGTTTCGCTGCACTTTCCACCTGATCCTAGAGAGCCTTTATCACATATGCATTTTCAAAAAAGTAGCTGACCACTCAGAGAAGCAGCAGCAGCAGCCAATCTATCAGCCTGCTCATTACCCTACAAAACATTATATTGTGGGCAAAAAATCCATGACATGCTCCTGATCTGAGACTTAATAAGCAATGCGAGCCACTCTAAGTGAAGAACATCACTCTATTTATTTAAAATATGCTCCACAAGTCTTTTACAATTACATGTCAGACTGTGCTATACTCCAGCCATTGGAAAGCTGCCATTACTGACAAATTAATACTGAGTGAAAGTAACACTTTCTTCCATTCCTATGAGTGTCCCCAGTATATTGTGCCATCTCCACATTTGTATAGATCAATCGCTATCTCAGTCGGTATGCGGTCAATATCAGATCTGTCAATACAGTCTATATTTACCTTTTTTTTAGAGCAGTGCAGACAGTGCAGTTGTAAGCCTGAGGATTTAGGGCCGCGTGGCTAGAGCTGTCACCATGGACCTTGCAGGTTAGGATGTCTATTTGTTTTATTAATTTTTTAGATGCCTGACACAAGGTGTAAAAAAATTATGATCAACTAAAAGACAGGCAGGTGAGCCAGCACTGCGCTACTAAGGTTTCCTAAACTACTGAATATACTATACTACTCAAAACACGAAACCCATAGCTAGTGAAAGTAACATTATTTTGTTATACATCTAACATTTACAATCTTTGCAATTTAATGAGTGAAAATGCTCACAAAAATACTTTAGGGTTCAACTAAGTAACTGACATTTAGTGAAAATGCTCACAAAAATACTTTAGGGTTCAACTAATTAACTGACATTTCCCTGCATCGGGGCAATCATTATTTTTTTAAGTGTACAGGCCTTCCCATCAATTAATAAATATGTGCCACTGAATAACTATGCTTTTTTTTATATAGTTTGGAATAAAGTGAACAAAATCAAAAACCAAAATATCAAGACACCACTAATTTCCAGCAAATAACTGAATCATACTACAACGGCAAAACATGACAAAGATAACCATAACACTAAAAGATACATTTTTTACCTAGTATTTCCAGTCGATCTTTAACCATTCCTAAATTGGTTTCCATTTTATCTTTCAACCTTCTTGCACGTTCATAAGTGTCTCCTGTAGGAGAAAAAATGAACCATGTCATACTGTATTGAGATTAAAACTAGTTGTTTACCCATCAAAAGTGATGAGGTTCGCTCTTCCTTTCATCCACGAAACTATGTACAATTATCTACACGCTGACTGACATCCTCCCCTTCCCGCTTTTTCCTTAGGCTCCGCCTTCAAAAAGCACACTGAGCAATTGGTAGGGTATAACCAGAAAAGCTGTGAACTGTAATGCAAAACAAACAAAAATGTAGAACCTATGTTTTTATATGCATGTGAGACAAGGACAATAAGTAGACAAGCTAAAGAAAATAACATTTACTCCCAGCAGAGATGTGGTTTCTGAGAAGAATGCAAAGAATATCATAGGGCACCACCTGAAAAAGATTGAAAATCACTGCCTAAAGGGATCTTTAAAACTGTGGCACTACCAAAGATAACATGTGGAACAAAAACATATCCATTGTTGCCAAAGCATGAAGAAAGCAACGCATCACTTCATCACACCAAACCCCCCAACCCTCCCATAAGGGAAAATCACAGTACAGTGCATGAACTACAAACGCCTTTCTCCACCTTTCTCAGCATGCTGTAGATGTCTGCTACAATTATGTGTGCAGCTGGTTCTCAAGCCAGTTGATGTCTGCTGTGACTGCCTCAATCTCCAATCTCATACTAGATGTTGTGGTATCATACCCTAGTCTTTACATTCTAAGCGATGTCTATTTGCATTTGTAACAAACCCCTACCGATTCTCTAATTTTCAAGTGATTATTTTAATATATCTTTGGGTCACAGTTGTTGTTCTAAGTTTTAGTCTTCCTCCCTCTGAAACCTCACATACATACAATTTTTTTGGAAATGATTGTTCTCCATTTTTCTAGAAAGTTTTAACTTTAGTCTTCTAAATATGTGTATCACAATGATGAATAGAACGTAACCCTTTTCCCTTGAGACATTACCATCCGCTACAAATCCCCCAGTAGATTACATTTTAGCTTTATGGCTTCGGCCAGTCCCTGCTATTAGTATCAGATTTGGTAATGTTTGCGCCAAGGCAGTATTTAGAAGGGCCAGACATGATTACATTTACTAAAAACATAATTTAGGGGAGAGGTTACTGTGAAAACAAAATTGCTTTAACCTTTAGCGGTCACACAACAAAAAAGATACTGTGTGAGTCACTGAATTCATGTTTTTTATGCACAAGTGAATGTATTTAATACTTCTATCTGTTAGTAATTATTCATTACTCCCGTTCATACATTTATTTTAAAAAACTGCACTTATATACATTTTTTTTCAACTAATTCATTTATTAGTTACCTGTATAAGATGCTTTTTTTTTTTTTTTAAAGATGTTTTTTCCAGCAAATGGCTGGTTTTGGGCATTTTTCTCCCAAGGGTTTCCAGTGTGAAAGGGCTAACTTTGTTATTCTGTCCTGCTGTTTAATGCTTACACACTTATACAGAGAATATGAATAATCTTCAGAATGAATAAGTCACTGTCTATCAAGCAATGGAGACGCATCTATTGTAAGAAAACTATTGTCTGGATAATAAACTGTTTAATGGTAACAAAGATGACTATTTTTTTTTTTTAAATACTTCAGAGCAAGCTGATTTCTTTTTAAAAAATTCTTCAAACTGTGTATATACTTTTTCACCACTAATTATACATTCTTTTGTTTTTTATTGTGAACTCATTTCTTTAAAAGAGCTTTAAACATAAAGCAGAAAAAAGCAGCATATTTTCTTGTTTATAAATACTACTATTTAGATTACATAATTTTTATTAATTCTTTTTTACTTTTTTTTTTTTTTAACTGCAAAGACAGTTCTACTTCTGTTACTGCCAATGCGTTCATGTTAGGCTCTGTAATTTCACAAATATTCACACCAACGCCTGGTTTTATTTTCTTACACTACTGGCATTTTATCTGACCTCAGTCAGTGTAGGGTTAAATAAAGTAAAAGAAACCTTTCTGTGCACTAGATATATGATGCCAGACCCACATTATTATAGACCGATTCACATTAGTTGGGTGATATGGTCAGCATCATACTAGCTTTCTTCACTTCCAAGGATGTTTCCTTGTATAGAGTATGGGCTAGATCAACATGGGAATTCAAGCTCTATTACATAAAACTGTCCCAGGGTGGGTTCAAACCCAAGACTCTCAAGCCAGCAGGCAGGCATCTAGCTGCTGCGTTATTGTTGCTTAAATAAAGACAGTTTTAAAAAGTTAATTACTACTTTCAGCCCCTCAGTATCCTCAAGAGTTTTATGAAGACTCCACTGGTTCTGATGAGTCTTATAGAGAAAATGTTCTCAATGAACAGCTGCACAATTTCATTTTATGGACCCTGTTGCCCTGAGAGGCCACAAACTCGTTTGCTATAGTGGCTTGTTATTGACAGGCATTGCTTTCAGAACTGATTCTATCTGAAATTCTAATGTCATATTAGTCAAAGGGTTACTGGGTGATTGTGTCGGGGGTCAAGTAATTGTCATAAGTAATTATTTTTGGTATCCTCAAAGAAACATAAACATGTTAATTCTCTGCTGTATTCATTTGTTTGTTTATTATTCCCCTTCATTTGTATCATATATGCTCATTGTTTTGGGCTGTAGATATATTTTTTGCGAAATGTTTTTGCTTGTGACATGTAAACAATTTTTTTTTTATGGAAATTGTTTGGGGGAATGTCTTAAATATATGCAATACAGGATATCTCAGCAATGTGTTTTTTAGGTCAAAGGAGTGAAAGGGTTTTTGCCTTGATCAATAAGCAAGATGCACAAATACACACTCACAAAATGTTCATGGCTTACCTTCACCCCTAACTTCAATAGCTATTCCCTTTTCTAACTCTTCTATTCCCTTTTTGTAGAGTGCAACAGCAATGTCTTTCCTCACTGAAAATAAATAAGATAGATTCATAATGTAACTTGTTTATTAACAGATAATACAGATGCTGAAAGTAATAGGTTACTTTATAAGGTTAATTACAAGGTTAAATTATAAGCGAGATTAATTTAAAAAAAAACATTTACATGCCTAAATTTAATTCCAACACTAAATTGTTATGCCATTTTCACTATGAAAATTGGCTGCAGCGAATATGTGCACCCACTGCTGACTGTGGAAATTTTACATGTCACGGCCTCTCACTCTTCCATAGTGCGACTCTCATACCATTGTCTGAAAGCCACGAGAATAAACTTTTCTAGGTCGCCCACTAGAGAAATCAACCCCGGTATGTCAAAAATTATACAGCAAAACAAGCTCACTAACCTTTAAGTCACAGAGCTGCACATTTAACTCTTTGCATCCCAGAGGGTTTAACATCACAGGCCCAAGAGGTAGTAAAGAGAGACACAAAAAATTGGTGTATCATGCGTTCATTGGGCTTCTGGATAGGAACTCATGCATTCCTTGGGACTCAAAGAGTTAACAAACTAAATTTTGAAATCTTAATATTTAAAAAAAAAACAAAAAAATTTCCAATTTTTTTCACTCAATAACAACTAAAATATTTTATAGAAGTTATTCTATGTGAGCATAAGCAAAGTCTGAGCTAAAAAAGGAACAATTATAACAAAAATTTAAAAGACCCTTTTCCATGCCTTCAGGCGTAATGGGCATATAGGGCTAGACCTATATTTTTAATAAAACAATCAGTATTCTGTGAGTGATGTGGTTACCATTACACTGGCCACCTTTACTCCCCAGGCCTTTACCTGATATCTAATCAAGGCTGGCTCAATCTGGAACTTCCAGTGAAAGCCAAGATCACTTTTTTGACAAAAGTCCAGTCCGCAGGTGAGTGCCTAGCCACTACACTACATCGGCTCCCCAAATTAATAAAGTATAGATATTTTTTGGTAAAATTTATCAAATGTATAACAAATGTGGATTCAAATTATGATCAGTAAAATCAAAAAATTGTTGGGACAATTTTAATTTTAGTTTGTAGACCCCAATGACTGCAGCAGGAAGAAAATTAAAAGGATCTTTGTTTACTTATTATTTCCCAACATCTGCAGGCATAGAATTTTACTGAAACATGCTGACCTCTCCTCTGCATCATAAAACGTGAAAGTAATAACTAATATTATATGAGATTAAACTCATTTTATTAAGAGAATATTAAATATTATTACATATTGATATGTTTGACTAAAATGTGTTATGAGTAAAAAGTAAAATTTACTTAAAATCACGCTTTTTTACCTCCATCTTCTTCATCAATTTTTAAGGCCTTCGATATAAACTCAAAAGCCTTCCTGTGATGTTTCTTCTGATTCGCCAAAGCTGGTTCTGCAGGACCTACAGCAGCCTTTCCTTTCGCGTTACCAGACATTGTATTTGTCGTTTCAACGGCACCGGGTGACTCACGTATAGATCTCAGTGTCACCACTCGTCTGCTGTACCGACTGATCAAAACAACGGCCAGGAAAAACTGATAGGCTAAAGAACGAACGAATACAAAAATAACCAACAAAGGCGCTGCAAAAAATCGGAAATTCCTGCTGTGCACTGATATAGTTCGTCGCACAAGTCTGCCTTTGCCTTCACTTTTTCGTTTCCCTGGGAGACGAGGTCCCCCTGGTCCTTTTCGTTGCATATCTACCTAAACCATCCGCCATGTTACATGGCATAGGATCATGGGAAACGTCTTTTACTGGGAAAATCAAAAATGTGCACGACTCCGTTCTAAGGCTGTCATCAGTATCACCATCATCGGTCTTGTTCACGATTCCTGATCCATCTACACACTATACCTGACGTTCCATTAATATATTCTCAGACTCTTAGAGGTCAGAGGGGTGCGTGCCTTCCAGTTACATCAGCGCCGATGTTGAGTGTTCTATACTACACGACGACACAGTTTTCAACGACCCCAGAACATGTGAACTGGCCCTAACCCAATCTCCCTACCAACAGCCTCAACCTAGCCACACAAAATACTCTTTTCGAAAAAAAGCAGTACAACGTAAAACCCCTCTGACTTAGACCAGACTGGGAAAGTGTTAGACGGGTCGGGAAACGTGAACAGGGTCTCATCATCATTTTCCAATTCTGCCGTGTTGATTAAAAAAATCATGAGTTGTAAATCCTTTCGCTTGGTACTATGGCTATCGCAACCCTTCGGTCGTGGTTCCGTGATAGATACAGTAAATCTGCTTTTCTGCCTACCCCCGAGTATGAACTCGGACAACAAGGAGCCGTGGGAAGGGACAGTTTGCGATCCATTGCTTCATGTGCAGCAATGGTTATTTGCTATTCCGTTTCGATAAAGAAGGTTTTTAATGCCAATAATCTATTTTTCCTAGGACGACCTCTTACTTTCGAATCAGATCTTTTCATGTGTACCGTCTGTGTTGGTAGTCGTTCTGGCTGCACTCTTACTAGATGACCAAACCATTTGAGCTTCTGATTCTACATAAATTAGCTGCATGGTGTTGTTCCAATAGTCTGTCTGAAAATATCGTTTCTAACCTTGTCTCGGATGGTTAAGGTGATGGCTTTTCTTATGCATCTCATTTCATATATATTAATTTTAGGTTGATTAGCCTTTGATAATGTCCAAGTCTGGCACTGGTAGCACAGTGTTGGTGTCAACAGGCTGTTTATAATATGTTTCTTGGCGCTCATGCTTATGTATGGATGTCTTAGTAACGATGGTAGTTGGTATATAAGTGTGCCGGCTCGTTAGCATCTTGTTTCAATCGTGTGTTTGTTTCTCAAGCTTGTCAATTGCCTTCAATCTCAGGTGTTGGCAATCATTCCTGATGCAGATGTTCTTTTATACTATGATGCTAATGTGTTCAATTATGTCTGTCTGTCTCTCTCTCTCTCTTTCACTCTCTCTCTCTCTCTCTCTCTCTCTCTCTCTCTCTCTCTCTCTCTCTCTCTCTCTCTCTCAGAGCACGTAAAACCTTCCTGTATAAGTGGATCAACAACCTACTTGGACGCCTCAGACGGGGAGCATGTAACAGAACTGCCAGAACTAATTTTCTACAGCCCACATGGTGGACTCCAGAAGTAGAACAGGTGTGGAACGCAAAGAGAACCGTAGTGAAGCAGCTTGAGAAAATATGACAGACACACTCAAGCTCACGAGAGGAAGTGGAGATGGCGGAGAATGTCAAAAAAGATAAGGTGGAGGTTTTCAAGCACTGTGCTGCACAGGCCAAAAGAGCAAAGTGGGAAACTTTTGTGAATGATATGGGTGGCGATTAAACTTTGGGAAAATTCTGGAAACTGAAAAGGCAGATGCAAAGAAAAGATCGGCCCATGTTAGTGAGAACAATCTATAGAGACGATGGTGTGCGTATGACAACAGACAAGGAGAAAGGGGAGGATTTTCTCCATAGGTTTATAGCTCAGACAGATCATAATGATGTAAACATCAGGGATGCAGTTAGAGAGGAGTTAGCTGGCACTTTAAATGCAGAGACTGACCAGCAGGTGCCACAGATGTGGAAATTCAGCAATTAATTCAAGATAATGCTCGCTCAGAAGATGTGATCATTTACACAGACGGATCAGTGTCAAGAGGTAAAAGAAGTGCTTGGGATTTCTTAGCAAAAGTTAATGGTCGACATTTGGTTCAGGAGAGCCTAGCATATGATACCACAACACCCAGCTTAAGAATGAAGGTGGAGGCGGTCACTGCAGCTTTCCGCTGGCTAGAGAACACGACACACACACACATTGTGATTGACTCAGAATGCATGCTGAGGAAGATCAGGACAGGCATGCTTCGTGCAGAGTGGCATGCTTCGCTGCGGAAGACACGAGTGAGTAATATTGTCTGGATGTTTTCACCAGGTGTGTTGGGAAATGAACAGGCGGACAGACTGGCTTGCTCTGCACAGCTTGGTGGAATACTGATGCATGATAAGGCAGACGTGGTTAGTGATTTGTGGGAGAGCTTGTACAGTTCGGAGGAGCAGATTTATCACCACAGTGTGGTGAGATTGATGCAGTTGGGGGTGAAGAGAGGTTCTGGCAGATGCTCGAGGCTCAGAGAAAAGGCAAGACGGACGTTTAATCAGAATGCTACTGGCATCATTGGTATCGGAACTCTTCGCTTGCTGCTGAAGATAGGGACGGAGCGCTTATGGGAATGCCCCGAGTACTGTGATGTCGGTTCTTGAATATGTTGTGAGGAAGAAAGGGGGGGGGGTTTCTTTTTTTGGCTACTACAGCTTGCAGTTATATTCTAGGACATTGGTCTTCAACTGGTGATCCAGGGTTCGGGCAGAAATTTCCATGCGGTCTGCCAGCATTTTTCGCCCAATTATATGGCGGCGGACTCTGTCTGTGGGGTACACTGTTGTTGAGCTCATGATTAAAATATTCATAGACATTGGATTATCGCAACTCTTTCTCTCTCAGAAACAACGCTCCAAGCCGCACGATATATTTTGTAACCTCTAAGTAGCACCAGATGTCTTATTAACTAAAACTGGTAGCTGTATAACTGGATTTGAAAATCCATAAGAAACAAAGATCATAGGAATAAATCAGGCAAATAGTAATATGGTTTCTCTTAATGGTATCACACTCCAAGAGGTGGAGTCGTATACCTGTCTGGGCAATAATGTAGATAACGTGATTGGCAAGGGTAAGTGGGGAGGGGGGGGGGGCTGATAGAAATAATAAAATACGATTACAAAAGGTAAGCAGGGCTTTCGTATAACTAGAGATTTTTTTAAGGTAAAAAGAAATTGAAACTAATACTAAACATAAAATTGTTAGTACTGTTCTTTGGAGCGAAAACGTGGAGAACAAAAATGGCAATTACTAAAATAAATTAAAATCATTCATTAACTGGTGCCTGCGCAGAATATAGGAAAATTAATGATAAGATAGAATCACTAATGTTAAGCTTCAGGGGAGAACTAAAAAAGTTTCAGTGGACCAAGAGGTGAAGAATAGACGCTGGCGTTGGATAGGACACACGCTGAAAAACCATGAGAACAAAATAACTATAATGTCTTTGTACTGGAACCTACGGAGGCATATAAATAAAGATAGACGAAAAACAATTGGAGAAGGGAGCTAAAGAGTGGCGTTAAAAGCGTGGGGAGGACATGGGGAGAGATGCATGCGATAGCGAAAGATAGAGGGACTGAGTTGACTGAGGGCTTGTGCACCGTTGGGGTTAGATAGGCAGAATCACCATCATCAATTCTCTTCAAGCCTAGTGGCACATTAGGCTTCAGAGATGACTTTACTGGGATTCCTCAAGTAGGTCGTGGATATATATATATATATATCTTTTGATTTTAAACATCCAGTGCTGTTACGTGTCATCTTTCACACACACACACACACACACACATATATATATATATATATATATATATATATATATATATATATATATATATATATATATATATATATCCACGTGTCATCTTTCACACACACACACGCGCACATATATATATATATATATATATATATATATATATATATATATATATATATATATATATATATGAAAGATGACACGTAACAGCACTGGATGTTTAAAATCAAAAGATGTTGACTTATTAATGGGACATAGTAATATAATTAGCAGATGGACCGAGTATATAGGGGAATTGTTTGATGTTAATAGACCAGATGTAGAACTGCAGACCAACAATGATGGTCCACCAATAATGACTGCAGAAGTTGAGGATGCAATACATCATATGAAGAAAGGAAAAGCACCCTGGCCAGACACCAACTCACTGGAAGAAATCGAAGCACTGGGAGATTTTGGAACTGAAATAATAACTAAACTTTTAAATGATATTTATAATAGTGGGTATATTCCAAATGACCTTTTAAAATCCATATTTATAGCTCTGCCAAAGAAACCAGGCACTTTAAAACATGAAGACCATCGCACAATAAGTCTTTTGAGTCACACGACTAAGATTTTACTGAGAATAATTATGAGAAGAATAAGAAACAAAATTAATCCAGAAATCAGCGATGAACAATGTGGATTTGTAAAACTAGAAAAGGTACAAACAATGCCATATACATCATAAGGACATAGCCAGAAAGAGCTATAGAAGTAAAGACTGATTTTTACTTTTGCTTCATAGACTATTCAAAAGCATTTGACTGTGTGAAGCATGAAGAAAATCAAACTGTTAGAAAATTTACATTTCAAAGCATAAAGAGAGGCGTACGACAAGGATGTGTACTATCACCTGATTTGTTTTCAATATACAGTGAATATATAATGAGATCTTTAATTGAAATGCCCTGAATTGTGGTTGGTGGGCACAATATAAACAATTTACGTTATGCTGATGACACAGTCTTGATGGCAACAAGCCAGAAAGAACTACAGGAAATGATAGACATTGTGGTGTTAGAAAGTGGGAAGAATGGGCCTCAGTTTGAATAATGGAAAGACAAAAGTAATGGTGATATCAAAGAAACGAATTATTCCTAAATGTGAAATAAAAGTCGATGGTGTTATTTTAGGATAACTACAGAAATTTAAGTATTTGGGCACATGGATAACATCATATTTAAGATGCATAACTGAGATAAGAAACAGAATAGGACCGGCAAAAACTGCTATTTATAAAATGAAGAATATCTTGTGCAATATATCCTTATCATTAAGAGTTAGAAAAAGAATAATTGCTTGCTACATACGTCCAGTTTTTACATAGGGCTGTGAATCCTGGACAATCCTCAATTTCTTGAGGCCTCAGAGATGTGGTTTTACAGAAGAATGCTTAGAATACCTCGTGGACAGCCAAAAAGAACAACCAAGAGTTTTTGAAAGAGGCAAGAGCCCGAAGACAGCTTATCACAGACATCAGAAGGAGACAGTCATCATTTTTCGGCCATGTTATGAGAAGAGGGAAAATAGAACATGTTGTGAACACTGGAAAGATCTGTGGAAGGAGGGATAGAGGAAGACAACGAGAGAAGTTGCTTGACAGTCTTGCCGCATGGCACGGAGGTGTGTCGCCACACGAACTTATGCATGCTGCAGGAGATTGTGCATTATGGAGAGCCATGGTCGCCCACGGCAGTCGGCAAGGCACCGGATATATATATATATATATATATATATACATATATATATATATATATATATATATATATATATATATATATATATATATATATATATATATATCATAGGACATTTAGGTTTATCATTTATTTTGGTTATTTAACACTGCATAGATTTAAAACAATGTGTAGGAGTCTAAATTGTTGTTGAGTATATTTTAAGTGTACTTCTTAAACACTTATGATCACTTATGCTAATATATTCATATTATGTAATTGAACAGGGTATAATAAAATTGCTGAGAGTCTGAAAATTACCCCCCTTGTGTGTAGTAGGCGGCGGCGCATAAAATCCGGAAGTGTGTATCTAGATTTTACACACCTTGTCAGCTTGTCTGTCATCAGTAGTGTAAGAGCTTGTAGACTTCAAGTAAATCACCGTACGATATTCCACGTAGCTTCTATACTCGTTCTGAACAAGCTTTTTCACACTATGGCGGACCAAGAACAGAAGGCAGTCATGTTGATTGCAGAGGCTGAGAAAAAATTAAAGTCTGTTAAAGGATTATTTTCCTCTTTATTTGGGTGAGCAGTTTCATAGCGATTTTTTTTTTCTTTTCAAAGCACTTAACTCTTTATTTTTTTATAACTGTACTTTACGTCATGCGTTTCTGACTGTGCCAGTCTGTCAACAACGAGCAGTATTATATGTTGACGGAAGAATTTAGTTGTACTATTAGTACTATTTTATTTATTTACTTACGCTATAACTATATTACTATTTGTTTGAGAAAGAAAGTAGCAAAGTAAAGCCACCAAAGCCCACATTTTGTGGTAGAAAGTTTTGATTCTTTATGCAGGTTTCTTAATACTACATTTTCTTATCTCCACATTATAAATTTTAACTATTTGATATAAAGATATTTTGGCTGTCCTCTGAACTTCGTTCCCATATTGTGGCGGCCAAACAAATATCCTAACAGGGCCTCAGTCGTGTGTACACTATGGACTTCCTTCTACGAACACATTGCGGCAAAACTAGGATTACTGTCCATTGACACTTTAGAGAAACACAACCATACACAGTAACACACGATAATAGCGACATGGCTGGGAGACCATGTGCGTCGATGCAGGTTAGCAATAATGTTCTTCCGATTAAACTCACCGTCGAGTGTATCCCCCGCGCCGCTATGCACAGCGTGGGTGGGGGGAGGGGGGGTTTCTAAACTAAATGACTGGGACTCACGAGCAGCGCTACCACATCTCCTGCAACTTCCTCCAATTTAATTGCTCGTGAGTCCCAGCCATCTAGTTTAGCCATCCTCCACGCATAGCGTGGCAGGGATACTCTCGGCGGTGGCGGTATAGTCGCCGGAAAGAGGTTCGCAATTTACACATGGCTGAGGCCCTGGTAAGGTATTTTTTTAGCCTTGATAATTTGGGGCCGTCATTCCAAGGATAGCCTAAATTAACTAGAGAGCTCACTGGACAAGATGATTAAAAAGTGGTCACTTGTCGTCTTGATTGGCTGATTTTTAAATTTTACTAGGAATTCATTATCAGGATATGGGGGGTGATCAAGTAAAAATATCTCCAACAGAAAATTCTGTGAACTCTATAAATAATAACAATTGCATTTAAAAATATGCTACAGTGGCTGTTGATTAAAAAAAAATTATTCACAAAGCATTACTGATTACTAATTTAGTAAGCATTTTAAGTTAATTAATTTTAAAAAGTACAGAAAATGCTACAATGATGAGTGTGAATGGCAGGTCACAGCAGACTTATGGGAAAATAACATTTACACGTTTTAAATCTGATCAGATTATGAAATAAAAACATAAGTCAATATTTTAATTCTTTGTAGAAGTGAAATTTATACTTTTTGCAATAAATTACTAGCTCGTAATGATTTATTAATTAAAAAGCAGAAGCGAGTCAAACTTGCATCTGGCACAGACATGTTGGATTTTTAGCAAAAACAGTGATGCCATGAAAATATGTTTTTTAACACTTTCTTCAAGCCAGTCCTTGTGAAATTCCCCACACTTATGTACAAATGATTAAAAAAAATTTAAACCACAAATGGTCTTAATCTGGCATAGTTTAGAAGATATTTATGAACTTCCTTGCAGTGAAATATACTGTGTGCTGTCAACAAAATCACTCTATCAATTGCACAGAAAAACAGTGTTGTGTCACAGGCTGGCATCTCTGCAATAACTCCTAACAATTGTCTTGATATGTTTTTTCACCTACAGAGTACACAAAAATAATTTCTCAATAAGGGTCAGTGCTCGCCTTTTTTTTTCCACGGTCACAATATGAACGTATGTATGCATATGCCAGAAAAGGCCAATTTTATGGCCGATTAGCGTCCATGACAATATTGTGGCTAATCTTTTTATGTAAATAAGTTTCATATGTTTTAAATCTTGTAACTCATTACTAATTCTGTTTCCTCCCTTTTCTCCCCACAGAGGTGGATCGAAACAAGAGGAAGCATGCGAATTGTATGTCAGAGCAGCAAATGCCTTTAAAATGGCCAAGAAGTGGCCACGTATGTTCTGTTTGCAGTCATTTTTTATTTTTATTTGGCCATAAATACATGTCTGTTTAGAACAGCCGTTCTCAACCTGCGGGTCACAGCCCTTTTTTGGATCGAATGACCCTTTCACCTGGGTCAGCTAAGACCATAGGAAAATTCATATTCTTTGACGTTATGAAGGAAAATGATTGTTTGGGGGTCGCCACAACATGAGGAAACTGTATTAAAGGGTCGGGGCATTAGAAAGGTTGAGAGTCACTGGTTTAGAAACATAACTGATAATATTCATTGTCCTCAAGTGAAAGTTAAAAGAAGTAAAGGACCCGCTATGGGCGCATGCATTTTTTATAGTCCAGTTGACCTTATGTGGATGATGTGGTCAACATCATGCCAAACACTTTTACTTCCCAGGACTTTACCTGGTACCTGTTGTAGGCTGGGTCGACTTGGGACAACAAGATCATTTTAAAAAGACACTTTTGACTCGGCTCAGATTCAACAATTTTTACTAAGCTCAGCCTAGTTACTGGTATTTTTGATTATGTCTGTTGTCTGTTTCTTCTTTTTTTTTTCTTCTGCCTTTTCCTCTTATCTGCATATAGGTCTGTACTTCAAGCCAAATGCTCTTTGCTATCTCCTGCAGCTCCCGCTATAGCTTCCACATCCTCCCCACATTGCTTACGCCTGTCTCTAATTTTGTTCTGCATGTATCTTTGAGTCTATTTCTTTTAGAAAATATGGCAAAGCAGTGATTAGCATGCCTCCTGAGGTTGACCTGGTCTAAAAATAGGTGCCCGGACATGTTCCAAATAGTAAAGGTGGCTGGTATAATATTTATCACATCACCCATCAAGTGCTGATTGGTCTCACAATTTGGGACTGGCACAATAAAAATCATTTTTTATCTGAAAATATCAGAAAAATGTTTGTAAATCTTGTATCTGAGACTAGTATCTTCTTTTTCTTAGCGTTCACTTGTAAATTCTGGCATTAAGTTTTGGCTATTCTTCTCTACTAGACTGTATGCTTGTTCTCAAACGGGAGTTTTATGTGCACATCCGTTTTACAGATCTGGCTTACTTTTATACAGACTGTTATGTTGGTTCCTCCCTCTCCAGCAGATGCACTCCGACTTGGAAAGAAGAAACGATAATTAGTTGCTGTTTATATGACATGCTTGTGGGGGTGGAGGCAGAGGTGAGAGGATTGATTTCACTGCACCGGGTTGTATCCCATATTGCTCACTCTCTCTCTGCAGAACAGCCAACTGCCGGCGAAGAGCGCTGCATAGAGCACGACCTCCATAGCTTTGGTGAGGATTCCAAGGGATCTCCGTAAAAATGTCACTTGTGAAATAAACCCCCCGACCTTCAGAGCATACAGCTTTGATAACTTCGCCACAGGGGGGGGTGGGGCAATCGGTCACTTCTGTTATCCCAAGAGTGAGGCCTCAGAACTTAGTATCTGACATATTATCATTACAACACAGCCTTGTCTTACCGGGGCCCATTAGGAAACATAAAACAGTATAACTTTAACAAGCCATGCATGTCTTAGAGACAACTAATGATTCAAACCCATTGTAAATTTAAATAGGGCTCACACAAACAACTGAGAGATAAAAGGAAAAGTAGAAGACTTTTGAAAAGAATGATGTGAGAAAGAACTTGTTATCTATCATTCTTTTGTCTGTATCATCATCATCTTCTTATTTTTTTGCTATCATATTTCATATAGTGCTTGCAGTTTATCCTTCCACTCCATTCTATCCTGTGCAATTATTTTTTGCCAACTTACACAGGTCTAAACACTTCACACTCCTGTAGCATTATCCTTACTTGTTGTGACTGAATTTTAATGTGGCTATTTTGTTCATCCAGAAGCTGGGAAGGCATTTGAAGAAGCAGCCCAGCTTCAGCTGGCTTTGGGCAGCAAACACGAGGCAGCCACACATTATGTTGATGCTGGAAACTGTTATAGAAAAGGAGACCCCAATGGTATCTTGGTCTTTTATGTTTTAAAAATCTTATAATTGTGCTGTTTATAAAACTATTGCAATGCATGTTTATAGTATAATTGATTTAATAAAGATTTTCAAATGTAAACTGTGTGTACATTGTAATGCTATTTATCAAGTATTTTCATTTCCTTGTTTGTGTTCCTGGGACTCATTGTGGGGAAAACAAGAATAGACCCCCTGCTTCCCCAGCAAGCATGTCATAGGAGTCGACTATTTGGGGGCATCATTTGAAGTGGGAGTGCATCTGCCTGAGAGGAAGGAACCAACAGTTTACAAACAAGATATGCAGATATGTAAAACGAATGTGCACACAATTACTCAGGCTCTGGAACAAGACTAAAGTACAGAGGTGGATGAACAACCAGAACTTTCTGCCAGATTTTATTTCCGGTGAGCGTGAAGAAGAAGAAGTAATATTTACAAAGTTAAAGAGAAATGAGATATTGAAGTTTCTAGACTCCTAAAATATATGAATAGAAAAATGAGTTCTTGGCGAAAATTATTTACATAACTGTTATACAGAAAGTAATTTAATTTTCTTTGGGCGCCAGTGTTAAAGTTCTGGGTGTAATCTTGTTATCTAGTAGAAATAATTATTGTTTTCAGGATCTGGATAAAATTCATTTTATGAACTTCATTTTACAGCATAGTGGGTTTTTAATGGAGCTTATCATGTAGTTGTTAATTATAGGTATGAAAAGTCAACAGATTCAGATAATTTATTATTATTCAGTTACATTGCATTTATTTGTTAAGTAATTAGTACAATTCATATTTAAACATGACCTCTTTTTGAAAAAAAAATGAGGTGTGTAGATATTTAAAGGTGTTCCGTTGTAGTGGTATTTTTATCCTTAATTATGCGCTTAGAACTGCAGGTTACACCTGGCTGGTGTAGCCAGGATGCCCTAATTATAACTGGCTTGTTGGTCTGCTGTCCAGATTGAGATTTTACGTCTCAGGATAGTATGGTATACCTTTAAGTAGCAGCCGGAGGAGACAAATTGGTTGATCGATTTGATTGTAGTATTTTTAATTTATAGCTTAATATATTCTTGTCTTGTGACATTGGTCATCATATCTGTTCACAGCCTTCTGTCACTAAAAAAAAAAAAATTATGATACAGATAATCCTCCCTTCCGAAATACCAAGCTGCCTGATGTCTTCTCTTTTGGTTTCCTTCGTCTCCCTTCCCATCTAACCTTCATGTCATCACAACATGCTCCAGAGTTTACTTTCTCATGAGACCCTAAAGAACATGGCCTGTCTGCTGTCAGATACAATCAACTCTTATTGCTGTGTAGTATTTAGCTTTGAAAATTAATCAATGCAAATTAATCCAGTTTTTCAGCTAATCCACACACACACACAAAAAACTGAAAAGCTAACACGGCTCTTTGCTACAGGCACAACAATGCATTGTTATTTGTCTCTGTATCCATTTGAGAAGCATTGTAAGTTGAAAAAAAAATGAAAATTGTTGGTTTGTCTTATATTGGTTTTCTAGAATTGGAGTCTGAATATTTTATTATAATCTATTTCCTGCGTCTGTCTGATTTTGGCCTGACATCATTGTGTTTATTCTGCAGCTGCAGTCAGTGCTTTCTACAAAGCCATTGAAATTTATACAGATATGGTAAGTGATTTCTGTTTTGCCTGTGTTAGAGAAAGACGAGATATAGCAAAGGGGGGGGGGGGGGGGGAGCTAAGTTGGCTTCAGCAATTGGCCAAAGGTAGGCTTAGTAGATCACTGCCCTGCTGCATTGATTCTCTTTACACTCAGTCTCTTGGCTCTTGTCATTTGCAGACTTCTCAAATGTACACTGATGTACGCTTCAACACGTTGAATTAATGAACGAGATGAACACACAGCTGATGTCAATATTTATTTCTTCACACAGCTGCCTCCGAGCGGGTGCACACAGGGAAAACTGTCTAGGCGATCACAACTCAGCCACTGATAGCAATATATCATGTCAAACATTATTACCTTTATAGAGAAACACACATAGGCATTCCCATGGCAACAGCTTGACAATGACATCGTTCCACGTTGAAACAGATGACACCCTTCCACGTTTAAACAGTCACAGACACGTCCGGCCTTGACCAAACAAGTTAGACCAAATGGGTAGCCAGGTTTGCCTCGGAACTCACAGCTAAATCTGATTCAGTCATTCACTTGTGACTTGATTCATTCCTCAAGAACTTTCTTCACTCCCATCAGACACACCGTTCCTAGATCCAAAGACAAGACTGATCATTCCTGACTTGAGTAATCTTTCTCTTCTATGTCTTTTTCAATCATTCAACTTATGTAATACATGCCCTGTTTCATTTGGCATGCTCTGGTCAATCTGCCCGCTCGCCTCACACTCAGGTTACATCCCACTTTGTCCCTAACCTTACCCACCTGAACTGAATTACATAATTTATGTTCTGTATCTAACCTCTTTATCATCAGTGCAAACTTAGTTAGTTAGTTAGTTGGGTTATCCTCATTGCACTCCGGACATGTCCATAGGTGCTCAGATCCTCCCCTCAGTATGAACCCCAACGTCCGATGGCTAATAGTACCAGTTCTATGTTGATTAACAAGTCTTCTGGCGTGTCTGGTGTGCGTCTCGTTTTTTGCTGTACCGATCTCAATCCCCAAGTCTGCCAATCTGGCGAGTGATGTGGATTCACTGCCACCAAAGTCCTCTATTCTTCCCATTTCTCTGAGGGCATTGATAATATCAGCATGATCCATAGGCTGACCGCGGTAGTGATAGCGGATCCAGCCAACCTGTCAGCTCTTTCAGAGCAAACATTAATTATCAGGAGAAAATGACTCCTTGCACCAGCTAACGTTTCAAAATTAGACAATTACATTGAAAATTTATTGATGTATATTAAAGAGGGAAGGCAGTCTACTGTTAAAAAACAAATTGTGCTCAAATCCAGTTAAAAGTTAACTTGGTGTTGTTTGCAGGATGCTGTAGAACCAACCCTAGCATGTTTGGAATTTGGTTTCAGTAAGCAGGTTTACGTCAATTGGTTTGCCACTGTTTACTGATTAGTCGGCACTCGATACCATTGTCAAAATCAATGCAAAGTGGTTTGTTGCCAGATTACCTGCAGCTGGGTATCTTGGAATCCAGACTTGTTCACAGTGCCTAAACCACAGAAGTCTAGTACATTGATCAAATGGTGTAAATAGTGCACCTTCTTTAGAAATAAACACCATAAAGCCAAAGTGCACATGGAAGAGGAGGAATCCATATTGTTTATGTTGATTGGTCAAAATATTGTACTTCCATTATAAAACATGGAGTAATACTGAAATTCTTTTCCGGATACGTGGGGAATAAGGGGAATACATGTTTGTGTTGCAATACAGGATAGCAGAATTGTCTGCACAGATTTTTTTTCAGGATCTGGACTTCTCCAGAATCTACACTACAAGCTGAAACTTGTTTTTAATTTTTTTATGTAGTTGTTCTGGTGAATATTTGTTTTTGTATGCTGTTGAATGTTTTATTGCTGCAACATACATTCTGTAACTTGAGTTTGTTTTCTTCTAGCTGACCCATTTCAGTTGTTTTCCCTGTGTGGGTTCCGGAGCTCCATTGTGGGGAAAAGAAGAAAAGTCCCACTGCCTCCCCAACAAGCATGTCGTAGGAGTTAACTAATTGGGAGCCACCTTCAAAGTCGCAGTGCATCTGCCCAAGCAGAAAAGAACGACCAACTGCACGCAGAAAGCCAGTAAAACAGATGCTCATGCAAAACTCAGGCCCTGGCCAAAGTCCAAATGGACAAACAGCCATGACTTTCCGCCAGAGCTTACAGCCAGTGAGCAAAGAAGAAGAAGAGAATACAAGTTTCATAGTCTCATGCGTTGAGTCACAAACTTATTGTATTATCTGCGCCTGTTTTTATGACAGTGTATGTTGATTAAACTTATTACCCTTTTTACCTAGTCTTGAAAGCATAGCTTTAAATATAACTGGTTGGATACCCATAACCAGTGCATTGTTTCCATCTGTTTACAGGGACGATTCACAATTGCAGCTAAACATCATGTAACTGTTGCAGAAATATATGAGACTGAGTTGTCAGACATGGAAAAGGTATAATTTTGGTGTTATCTTTTCTTCTGAGCAAATAAGGTTAGGTCGTGAGAGAAATCGTGGTGCTGCATGGACTAGACAGTAATAACCAGGCTTTGTTTTAGGTCAAGAGAGGAATCGTGGAGCTGCATGGACTGGACAGTAATATCCAGGCTTTGTGTTAGGTCAAGAGAGGAATCGTGGTGCTGCATGGACTGGACAGTACTATCCAGGCTTTGTGTTAGGTCAAGAGAGGAATCATGGTGATGCATGGACTGGACAGTAATATCCACACTTTGTGTTAGGTCAAGAGAGGAATTATGGTGCCGCATGGACTGGACAGTAATATCCACACTTTGTGTTAGGTCAAGAGAGGAATTATGGTGCCGCATGGACTAGACAGTACTATCCAGGCTTTGTGTTAGGTTAAGAGAGGAATCATGGTGCCGCATGGACTGGACAGTACTATCCAGGCTTTGTGTTAGGTCGAGAGAGAAATCGTGATGCCGCATGGACTGTACAGTAATAACCAGGCTTTGTGTTAGGTCGAGAGAGAAATCGTGGTGCCGCATGGACTGTACAGTAATAACCAGGCTTTGTGTTAGGTCAAGAGAGGAATCGTGGTGCCGCATGGACTGGACAGTACTATCCAGGCTTTGTGTTAGGTCGAGAGAGAAATCATGATGCCGCATGGACTGTACAGTAATAACCAGGCTTTGTGTTAGGTCAAGAGAGGAATCGTGGTGCCGCATGGACTGGACAGTACTATCCAGGCTTTGTGTTAGGTCGAGAGAGAAATCGTGATGCCGCATGGACTGTACAGTAATAACCAGGCTTTGTGTTAGGGAGAGGAGAAACTTCATCCCTGGCCTTAGTTCGTGTAGAATTTCTTAGTGCAAGTAGTTCTTGCTAGTCACACTCACTATCGTCATGGTCTGTGATTCCCATACCTCCTTAGTATGCCAGTGTCATTTGAAAAGATGGAAAACACATTTAAACAAATTTATTTTATTGACAAATTTTTCTGTAAACCGAAGAAAATCTTGTCACTATCATCTAAGACTGCGGTGTCCGTGGCTTAGGCGTTGCGCGTCCGACTCGTAATTCCAACGTACCACGATCGAAACCCAATGCTGGCTGCATGAATTTTTACTATGGTATGGAGCGTCGCAGGTCGATCCAGCCTAAAATGGGTGCCAGGATGCATGTCCTGGGGTAGTAAAGACGGGTGGCGTAATGCTGACCACATTATTCATCTAGTGCCTTCGGTCTGTAAAAATATGGGTGTTCTTCCAATATACCTGATACGCCTAAAGGCGTGAAAAGGGATCTTTACTTACATATAAGCCTGTTAAAACATTTATTTTAATTATTTTCTATTATTATTTTTTTGACTAATTTGTCTGTAAACTGAAGAATGTTTTGTCACTATTAATATAAGACTGTCAAAACATTTATTGTAATTATTTTATAGTCTCAATGGTGGTGCTGTGTTTACTTTTTTTCTATTACAACTTCTGTTGTGCACATTGGCTGTTAAATCTTCTTGTGTTTTATAATGTTGATGATAGTTTCTTTTTTCTTTTTCTTTCCGTGCAGGCTGTTCACAATTATGAACAAGCAGCAGACTACTACAAAGGAGAGGAATCAAACAGGTAATATTTTCTTTCTTTGTTTCTTCTTCTCCTTCTTAGCATTTACCAGTTTTAAACTCCAGGGGACGTTCTGGATGGTCATCTCTTCTGGATGTGACTTTAGTCTTGCTCCAGAACTTGAGTGTTGTGTGCACATCTGTTTTACAGTTCTGGCTTTTTTTTTTTGGTATGCAGACTGTTGGTTCCTTGCCTCTCATGCAGATGCACTCTAACTTCAAACGTACTACTAATTAGTCAACTCCTATGACATGCTTGTTAGTGGGGCAGTGGGTCTGTTCTTTTTCTCTCCCACAATGGGACCCCGGAACCCACACGGGGGACTTTCTTCATTTGATTCTGTATATATTCAGTTTTTGATTTGATTAAAAGACTATTTTTTTTATCCAACTGTGAAACTATCTGATCTTTTCCTTCAGGTCACACTAGTTCTCATTTCAATGAACATTTTATATGGTACATGCAAGGATCATAACCTGCACACCAGAATCCACAAAACTGTTCATTTGTTCATACATCACAAGTGATAAGGACCACTCTTTCTTTCATCGTCATGAAACTGCAGTTGAATGTTTGTGAGTCCGGAGGTGACTTCTAAGTCCAATACATGCCCGGACAGTGAGGGCAGGGCACAGTGTCTGTGGACAAAGGGCATGTATGTTCTCTAGATGGCTTGCAGATCGTTGTACCATTTTGGATATATGTGTACCACAAAGTGCTGCAGTCTTCCCTGTCAGAGTTTATACTGAAGGCTTTCAGTGATGCTTTTATGTATCCTTGAAGTCCCTTTTCTGGCCCCCATGAGAACGTCAACTTTCGTGTATTTTACCATAGAAGATTATTTTTGGGAGCTGATGGGTGAAAAAAAAGTCTTGCTCCGTCCGCACCTGAACCCATGACCTTGGGATCTGCGGGTGAGCGCTCTGCCATCACACCATAATAGCTTCGTAATTTACAGTTACCTATCCAAAAAACACACACACACCTGATTTTGAACTAATTTCTTGCACTTTCTTTTCTGATAATTTTTTTTTCCACATTTTTATTTCCAGCTCTGCTAACAAATGTTTACTCAAAGTGGCCCAGTTTTCAGCAACATTAGAAAAGTATGAGAGAGCGATTGAAATCTATGAGCAGGTAAACAGTTGGTTTCGAGGTTTTTTTTTGGTCTTAGATATAGGAGCTGTAAATATATCTCTGTGAAGACAGTTTAACTTAATATTTTTGACAGGATAAATTCACAAGCGTCCATGTGTGGGACACTGCAGGCCATCATTGTTAGGGTTGACTGTCTTTTCCTTGGAAGGGTGAACAGTGAAAATTAGTAGCCTGCCCAAAAACCCATAAGACACGTAGGTCTCGGTGAGGCTGTGGCTCACTTTGTGGGAAAACTGAGGCCATGAGGTCTCTGTCTAACGAGGCTGTGGTTCACTTGGGGGGAAAACTGAGGCCATGAGGTCTCTGTCTAACGAGGCTGTGGAAAACTGAGGCCATGAGGTCTCTGTCTAACGAGGCTGTGGTTCACTTGGGGGGAAAACTGAGGCCATGAGGTCTCTGTCTAACGAGGCTGTGGTTCACTTGGGGGGAAAACTGAGGCCATGAGGTCTCCATCTAACGAGGCTGTGGTTCACTTGGGGGGAAAACTGAGGCCATGAGGTCTCTGTCTAACGAGGCTGTGGAGAACTGAGGCCATGAGGTCTCCGTCTAACAAGGCTGTGGCTCACTTTGTGGGAAAACTGAGGCCATGAGGTCTCTGTCTAACGAGGCTGTGGTTCACTTAGGGGGAAAACTGAAGCCATGAGGTCTCTATCTAACAAGGCTGTGGCTCACTCGGGTGGAAAACTGAGGCCATGCGGTCTATGCCTAATGAGGCTGTGGCTCACTCGGGTGGAAAACTGAGGCCATGAGGTCTCTGTCTAATGAGGCTGAGGCCATGAGGTCTCTGTCTAATGAGGCTGAGGCCATGAGGTCTCTGTCTAATGAGGCTGTGGCTCACTCGGGAGGAAAACTGAGGCCATGAGGTCTATGCCTAATGAGGCTGTGGCTCACTCGGGTGGAAAACTGAGGTCATGAGGTCTATGCCTAATGAGGCTGTGGCTCACTCGGGAGGAAAACTGAGGCCATGAGGTCTATGCTTAATGAGGCTGTGGCTCACTCGGGTGGAAAACTGAGGTCATGAGGTCTATGCCTAATGAGGCTGTGGCTCACTCGGGTGGAAAACTGAGGTCATGAGGTCTATGCCTAATGAGGCTGTGTCTCACTCGGGAGGAAAACTGAGGCCATGAGGTCTATGAATAATGAGGCTGTGGCTCACTCGGACGGAAAACTGAGGTCATGAGGTCTATGCCTAATGAGGCTGTGGCTCACTCGGGAGGAAAACTGAGGCCATAAGGTCTATGCCTAATGAGGCTGTGGCTCACTCGGGTGGAAAACTGAGGCCATGAGGTCTCTGTCTAATGAGGCTGTGGCTCACTCGGGTGGAAAACTGAGGTCATGAGGTCTCTGTCTAACCAGGCTGTTGCTCACTTGGGAGGAAAACTAAGGCTTTGAGGTCTATGTCTAACGAGGCTGTGTCTCACTCGGGTGGAAAACTGAGGCCATGAGGTCTCTGTCTAACGAAGCTGTGGCTCACTCGGGCGGAAACCTGACGCCATGAGGTCTCTGTCTGACGAGGCTGTGGAAAACAGGCCATGAGGTCTCTGTCTGACGAGGCTGTGGTTCAATCCTGTAGAAAACTGAGGCCATTAGGTCTCAGTCTAACAAGGCTGTGGCTCATTCGAGTGAAATGGGATCCATCTGGTTAAAACTGTCTGAAACTGACAGACCTGCAAGCCAGCACTGAATAACAGCTAGCTGAAAGAAACAAAAAGAAGGTAAATCAGACCTCAGGCGATGGATAGATGTATTATCTGATCCTGTGGTTACCAGTATCTGTGTACAACACATATATTTTCTACCGTTTTAACTTTTTTTTTCATAGTGTAACATGTTGAATTTTTCACCAACCAGGTTGCAACTTCTTGTATGGACAACTCCCTGCTTAAGTACAGTGCCAAGGATCACTTCTTTCGGGCTTCCATCTGCCACATGTGTATGGACACAGTAAATGCACAGGTGGCTGTTAAGAAATATGAAGAGATGTTCCCTGCATTTGCAGATGCTAGAGAGTGTAAACTTGTCAAGGTATGTATGTTATGATAAAAGTCTGTCTTGCCTGCCCATATTTCTGGATTTTTCAGGGATTAGTTGTTTGTACACCAGATTTTTGAATGAGACAGTAAGGGGCATTTCATTTGATTTGCACTGGCACAGGAACGGAAAAAGTGTAGGCAAACCCGATTGCAGTGAAGTTGAAACCTCCTCTGCTTTGAGTTGAGTTGAGTCAAGAATTGACACCACAGCACTTGGGACATTCCCATATGCGCTCCATCCCCATCCTCGGCAGCCAGTGCAGAGTTCCAAAACTAATGGTGCGGTGGTAGTCTGGTTGTATGTCTGTTTTGACTTTTCTCTGAGCGTAGTGTGCCGGCCGAACCCTCTGGTCACACCCAGGTATGACCTTGTCTAAGACTAAGACTAAAATAGTCTATTATGTTTTCAAAAGAACTGATTACTAGTTTTGGAAGAAGATATCCACTATATGTGGACATGTCATCTTTTTCTTAGACATTCCAAGCCCTTGAGAGTTATTGCTGCAGACATTACCCTGCCTCCATTATCTTCTCTTACAAGTTGACGACTCCAAGAGTTTATAGGCCTGCTTGCCTGTATATTACTCCACCGTTTTCTTAGTCTGCCTTGTGGTCAACTCTCTGCTGTTCAGCTCTTTTGTGTAAATTGCTTTTGTCTCTCAGTCATCTGTCATTCTCTCTTTATGCCCCAACCATTGCAGTATTCTTAATGCCAGTAATTAGTGATGATTTTAATGAATTATTAATTTTTATTGTTGCTTCCCACTCTCCATTCTACGTTGTTTGCATCATTGATGGGGCCAAAGATTCACCATAAGAGAAAGAGAGGAGGGTTCAGAACAGATTGGCAAAATGGCATAGAAGGACATGTGTATCAGCAATGAATGGCATTACATAAGCCGGAAAATAAGAGAGAGATGATGTTAAACAGATTGGCAAAATGGCATAGAAGGACATGTGTATCAGCAATGAATGGCATTACATAAGACAGAAAATAAGAGAGAGAGAGAAAGATGATGTTAAACAGATTAGCTACCTGGCAAAGAATGTGTTACAGCAATGATTGGCATTACATGAGACAGATAAACTTTAGATAGACATAATTTATCAGTGCCACACAGCATGTACTATGAGAAGAGGGATTTCTCTCTCTGCTATTCTAGTGTGGTTTATTTGTAGAATGCTGAGAATCCCATGGATGGCTATGAAGACCTGTTTCTCAGTACTGCAGTATGCCACCACACAGACAGATGATCACTGACATCAGGACATTGTCATTTTTCAGCTGTGACACTGTCATTTTCTAGCCCTGACACTGTCATTTTCCAGCTGTTAGGAGATAAAATGGTCTGGAGACAGTTGTAACATGTGGGAAGGTCAGAGCTCTACATTTGTGGAAGTATCCTTAGATGGTTGGGAATACCCATGATCTGTTTCCGTCTTCCCCGTGAGCCGTGTAATTCCATCCCAGTATGGTACGCAGTTTTTTTTTAGTTATTTTAAAGCCACACTCCGGCTGTTGTCGGGGGCCCTGATATAACCTAACAGTTGAACAAGGTTTTATGGGACCTGCACCTCGGTGATTCTTATCTGAATGGTGGCACTTTGTGTCACCAGGTGTTCATTGCTCATTGTGTGATTCTGGTAGGGGTGAACTTCATTAATTTATTGAAAGCCAACCAGTCTACACGTGTTTCTCTGTTGACAACACTTGTTGATAAAGGGACAAAGAGAACACCACACAAATAAAGCAATATCATGTCTGACGAAACTATCCGGGAAGTTAGCCCCCTCTACAAAAGTTCAATGAATCAGCATGTCAGCCACACACACAAAAAACACACAAATGTCACATCTTTGCTGTAAACAGGCAAAGCGCTGTTGAGTCACTCTGACAAACGAAAACAGAAGAATCTGCCTGTAAAAACATCTCTGCTGCTTCTACATATTTTTTTTTACTTACATTAAACAGTTAAAATTACAGTTCAGCTAATTATAATTTAATACAATTTAGAGGTTGAAAATGTTTTTATAATTCAAATTTTTTAACTGGAATTTTTTTTCTCCAGAAATTACTACAAGCGGTAGAGGATGACAGTGTGGATCAATTCACAGAAGCGCTAAAAGAGTTTGACAGCATATCCCGTTTGGATCCTTTCCTCACCACCCTTCTTCTGAGAGTAAAGAAACAGCTGAATGCAGAGCCAGATCTGTGTTAGTTTGCTGGGATATATGCTTGACATCCATGAGCTGCAGAAAACAGCTGAATGCAGAGCCAGATCTGTGTTAGTTTGCTGGGATGTATGCTTGACATCCATGAGCCGCAGAAAACAGCTGAATGATTGGGGTCTTGTGCATTGTTGGTCATTTTATGCTTGCTGGTGAGTAAATGGGAGTTTGTGCATTGTTGGTCAGTTTATGCTTGCTGGTGAGTGAATGGGTGCTTGTGCATTGTTGGTCAGTTTATGCTTGCTGGTGAGTAAATGGGAGTTTGTGCATTGTTGGTCAGTTTATGCTTGCTGGTGAGTAAATGGGAGTTTGTGCATTGTTGGTCAGTTTATGCTTGCTGGTGAGTGAATGGGGGCTTGTGCATTGTTGGTCAGTTTATGCTTGCTGGTGAGTGCATGGGTGCTTGTGCATTGTTGGTCAGTTTATGCTTGATGGTGAGTGAATGGGGGCTTGTGCATTGTTGGTCAGTTTGTGCTTGCTGGTGAGTGAATGGGAACTGGTGCATTGTTGGTCATTTTGTGCTTGCTGGTGAGTGAATGCGGGGCTTGTGCATTGTTGGTCAGTTTTTGTTTGCTGGTGAGTGAATGGGGGCTTGTGCATTGTTGGTCAGTTTTTGTTTGCTGGTGAGTGAATGGGGGCTTGTGTATTGTTGGTCAGTTTATGCTTGCTGGTGAGTGAATGGGAGCTTGTGCATTGTTGGTCAGTTTTTGTTTGCTCGTGAGTGAATGGGGGCTTGTGCATTGTTGGTCAGTTTATGCTTGCTGGTGAGTGCATGGGTGCTTGTGCATTGTTGGTCAGTTTATGCTTGCTGGTGAGTGAATGCGGGGCTTGTGCATTGTTGGTCAGTTTTTGTTTGCTGGTGAGTGGATGGGAGCTTGTGCATTGTTGGTCAGTTTATGCTTGCTGGTGAGTGAATGCGGGGCTTGTGCATTGTTGGTCAGTTTTTGTTTGCTGGTGAGTGGATGGGAGCTTGTGTATTGTTGGTCAGTTTATGCTTGCTGGTGAGTGAATGGGTGCTTGTGCATTGTTGTTCAAGTTATATTTGTTGGGTTGTGTACATGGCACAAGGGGCCGCAGCAAAATACCAAGTAAATGTAAGTAAAGAGATGTGTGCATAGTTGTCGAGTTATATTTGCAGATAGTCTAATCTGCCTGAGATGTCAGCCGTATTTTATGTATTATATGTGTATTATATATTAGTATTATATGTGATTGTGTATGTAAATTATTGCCTAATAATATCAGAGGTGTTTTGCTTACGTTCCTACTTCAAAAGACAAATTCTAAAAGCACTTTAAACTATGCTAAAATTAAGGGACAGGGTATTTTTTTAAATGGTGGTAAGTTGTATCTTTATCAGCATGTGCATTTATTACTCTTTTGTGAATAATTTGAGGAGTCACTATATAACCGCTTGCATGCCTGTCCGAAGTCTTTGATTGGAATCCACACCAAACATATTTTTATAATTGACCTAGGACTCTTAGACTGATCTAGTCTAAAATGAGTACCAGGATATGCTATAGAAAGAAAAGTTAACTAGGTTGATGTTGACACATAAACCAGTATGTCGGTTAACCTGTGAAAATATGGATCTAGCACCACGTGTCCAATGACATGAAAGGGTTCTTTATCCTGTTTATATAAAAAGAGATTCTGATGAGTACTGTGGCATATTTCAGGGCATTTACTATAAGAGTATGAAGTCACTCAGTGATCATTCCTGTTCTGTCTGTTTAAAAAAAAAAACGGTTTGAGAGCCTTCATTGATCATATATATATATATATATATATATATATATATATATATATATATATATATATATATATATATATATATATATATATATATATATATATATATATATATATATATATATATATATATATATATATATATATATATATATGTTCTTGAAAGACTAATGTTTTGATCCTTAAACCTGGGAAGTCGCTGCATGTGATCGCTCTCTTCATTCAGGCGCTGTAGCCCATGAGGATGCTAGAACTGCAGTAGCAATTCAGAAAAGAGAACAGGAAAGACACTGAAGCAAATCATCAGAGAGATGTGGCCTCAATTCCCTGTCCCCACTGCTCAAAAACTTTCAATGCTAGAATTGGCCTTATCAGCCATCTGTGCACTCACAAAACCTAATCCAGTCACCAAGGGATGAAAGGACTGGTCATTATCACCTGTGATGGACGAAGAGCAACATGTTCTTGTATATTTGCATTTGATAGATTTTTGCAAGAAAAGACACGGTTTAATGGATTGTATGTGTTTAAAGAGGGTGTAATTAGGCTAGGCAGAAAAACAAAATTTGTCACTCATAAACTGTGCACGACTTTTTCTCATGCATAGTTTGATGGGAATGATTAATAAATTAATTTTTACTTGATATACCAGCCTTGTTAAGATCTTTGCTGCATACATGCTGTCCCTAACACTTATACTGTATCAGTTGTCTAAGTGTGTTAAAGAAGCTTCATTAAAGATTTTGAAATCTTTGTTTTGGGATCTTAGCTGAATCCAAGACCTTCCAAGTCTGCATAGATCTTTGTTGTACACATTCCTGCTCCTAATACTAAGTCTGTATATGTTTTCTTCTTCTTCTTCTCATCTTGATCCTGCAGTACCTACAGTGTCTGTCTGTGCACTTAGTAAATGTAGATTCCCAGAGACTTTGTTATTTCCTCTGTCCATAATTTGCATGGTTGGTCTCTTCTTCACTTCCTGCCTGGTCTGTATATCGTTGTTTGCTGACATCCATGTTATATGACCAAACCATTTCACCTCTTGTCTTCTAAGGAAATCTAGAGCTGCTGCTACCCCCATTCTCCTTCAGGAGTTTTCTAAGTATGCAAAAAGGCCATTCTATGCATCCAGTAGACCTTTTTGCATTAATTTTGTTCCTGATATTATGCCTCTTCTCAATCTTCCAAGGTGTTTGCTGCTAACCGTACACTTTCTAATAATCTGCTTTATTTTAACATTGCACACACTCAGTAGCCTACATTTGCTATATCTCTTAGTTCCTCTAGGCCGGTGGTCTCCAACATTTGTTATATCTCTTAGTTCCTCTAGGCCGGTGGTCTCTAACATTTGTTATATCTCTTAGTTCCTCAAGGCCAGTGGTTTCCAACATGTGTTATATCTCTTAGTTCCTCTAGGTTCGGTGGTCTCTAACATTTGTTATATCTCTTAGTTCCTCTAGGCCGGTGGTCTCTAACATTTGTTATATCTCTTAGTTCCTCTAGGCCGGTGGTCTCTAACATTTGTTATATCTCTTAGTTCCTCTAGGCCGGTGGTCTCTAACATTTATGTCTCCTAGTTCCTCTAGGCCCTTCTCCAGGTTTCACAACCTCACAGCTGTCTATAGTGTCAGCACTGTGATGACTAGATTCTGTTTATTGTGTCCTTCTGTTTTACATTATTCCTCAATTTTTCAGTCAGCATGTTAAATATTTGTCATTCAACCTTCCAGTATTCTGTCCAACTGATCTCTGATTTAATGACACGGTTCGTATTCCAGGAAAATTTAATCGTTCAAAAATGTTGAATTAAGAATCGACATCACAGCATTCGGGGCGCTCACATAAGTGCTCAGTCTCTATCTTCAGCGGCAAGTGAAGAGTTCCATGAAACAAATTTACTAAACATTGACTGCTGTTTAAAAAAAAATAATAGTATACTACCAAGCATGTTTGAAGTGACTAAGGGAGGTTAGTATAAGATGCAGAACCATCCCATAGAAATTGTATTTGCCAAGTCAAATCTTTCATGAACAAAACTACCAAGGGTTTGGCATGAGTTGGTTGAAGACCTAATCTCTTTTGGCGTATCGGGCATATAGTGCTGGACCGATATTTCTAGACCAATCGGCACTCAGTGGGTAATGTGGTCAACATCATGCTGGTTGCCTTTACTCCCCATAATTTTACCTAGTACCCATTTAAGGCTGGGTCAACCTGGGAGCCAAGGCGAAAAAAATCCAGCTCCAGGCGGATTCAAAAGAACGACCTTTGCATCCGCAGGCGAGGGTTTAGCCGCTACACTACCATGGCTACCTCAAAGGCAGAAGAATGTTATTAAAGTAAACATTTTATGATTCTAAACAGGCATTGTTGTAAGAAAATAGATGTGTAATAAATTACTTCTAATTCATATGTGAGAAAATATTTCTTCCAATAATATTATATTGGATGGTAGATAGTATCCTTTGTTCATACAAAATTTCAGATGCCAACAAATTGATGGTAAATGCATAGAGAGATACCTCTGTCAACCAAAGCAAATCTCATAAAAACGTTTTTTTTTTGGGCCGACATTGTGCTACCAGTGTCAACCATGGACCCTTACTACATCTAATGAGCAGAAGATAGTAACAACAGAGCTAAGATGTCCTAGGAGAGCTGCAGGTGACAAAAAGGGATAAAATCAAGAATGAAGAAATTAGAAGAAGACTAGGACTAAACCAGTCATACAGTTCATTAAAGAACAACAAATGAGATGGTTTGGCCACCTGACGAGAATGCCCTGGTACCAACTGCCACAGAGAGCCACGGTGAAGAAACATAATGAACAAAGAGCAAGGGGAAGACCACGCAAAATATGTAGCGACAACATCAGGAGCAACCTAACAGAAATGAACACCAACTTGTACAATGCATTGGAAAAAGCACACAAATGATCCTTACATCTCCGCCCCAACACCTTGATGAGGTAAATGGTGGAAAAGAAGAAGAAAAAGAAACGCAGATGACTACTGAATGTGAGGTAATGTTTGCTAATGCTCAAATATGATTGTAAAAACCATTTTTCCCGTGCAATAAAAATCGAAGATGCTAGCAGAAAGGTGGATAGTAGTCTTATTTGATCCGGTCTAAGTGTAATGAAAAACTTGCTACCAGTCTTTCACAATTATTAGATCTACCTTCCAGAAAAATCTACAAGCTTTAAATTTTTAGGAAAATAATAGTTCCCTTGTAA